TGAATTTCTTCAAAAGAGTTGTGTGTAAATTACGTGGGCTTGCAAACATGTTTATCTATAATAATTGTTCTACTTCCTCAGGTGATATTGTATAGCTTTTGAAGCTTAATTAACTGATTTATATTATTTCAGAGGTCAAGAACCAGTGCTTCAAGCAAGGAAAATCAAATTATAGTTGTGCAATTTGCCAAGAAACATTCAAAGGTCTGGCTTATCATTTATACATTTATGGTTTATTTCTTCATTTCTGGATTTTGTAGTGCCATGAGATTAGCGAAGGCCACGATATGAGGCATATTTTACCAAATATTATCTCTTTCTGGATCTGGATGAAAAAAGATTGAGCATTTTATAAAATATTACTCTCATTTATAATGTTCTCAACATTGACTGCCTAAAACTCCTCTATGAGGTCTTAGAAACCGGCTGAGGTACATAGAGTATATTTCTCATTCAGCAAGTCACCTGTAAGAGCAGATTAAAATCCAAGGTGTTGCTCATCCAACGATGAGTTTGTGTCTAATGGCTTGATAGAACAAAATAACCGATAGCCCTATCTTAGTTTGAGAGCTGAGGAAGGCAATTAATCATTTAATATATTTAATTCCAAACAAACTAAGCTTATTTTTTTTAAACATGAAACAAAGTAAGCTATATTTCTACATTCTTCACCTCTAAATTGAGAAATTCCAAGGAATTGTCTGGGCCGTGTCAATCTTAGAGAGAGAAGATGGGAGAGTGGATAACCAAGACTATAAGACGAACCATATCAGCCATATACGTTATTTGTATCGAAAAACTCACAGATATTGAATCATAATGCAAGATGGAATTTCTCCCAACAATTTCCACTTTAATATTTCATATTCAACCTATAAACATACAAATGACAGAAAATTGAGAGACATGGCTATATGACGTCAAAATGGTAGATGAAGTGACATATAATTGCAAGCCTTTAAACATTATTGAGCTCAATAAATTTTAACAAGAAAAGCATATATCTCACTTTCATCGTTGGTAAAACATTGCAAGTATTGCTGAACAACGTGATTACCATTTAGGTCTTTGATGAGGGCAAGAAAGCCTGGCTCAAGGGCTGAAATAAATAGCAAAATTTGTTGCCTTGTTTTGAGTTGTCTCAATCAACTTTTGGACCACTCGAGTGCTGATAACAAAAGAATAAAGTGGTAAATCAACATGAAGAATGATGACGGCAAAGAAAAAATGTGAGCGACTTACCCATGTGTATTGAGAGAGATCCTAACAAGATCCTCTGGCACCTCAGTCACCCTAAGCAGAATTTGAGTACTCTGTTCTTCATTGGATGTGTCTGGCACCTCAGTCACCCTAAGCAGAATTTGAGTACTCTGTTCTTCATTGCACACATCCAACAGTTTTTGCATAAGGTATTTCCCAAATGGATTTTTCATGAGTTCAGCTGCATGATCAACTATCTCACTAAATATTAGCTGCATATCTCGAGGAGTCTCTTCTTCAAATATCTGTTGCAAAAATCGGCATCTATGCTGATCCTTCGCTGTGTGATATATATATCCTTGAGATTCTGCCAAGGAGCTACACTTTGATGGCAAGGAGAAAAGGCAATGCATTTTTGCAGTCTGACCACTTTCTTGAACACCAGTGATTTCTTGAGCCTTACCGGTGCCACTGTCATGCATGAAACCTATAGTATTTTTTACCTTGGGACGACCACATCCTCTGTTAAATGCATTATTTATACCATCCCCTTGAAGGATCAAACTGTCCTCTCCGGCAAAAGCTTCAACACCCCCATTGAGGCACTCTAAAAGGGGAACATAATCTATTTCTTCCATTAGGCACCGGTTTGCTGATAATGGAGTAAGTTTTCCACATTAAATTGAGGTATTAGATGAGCCTATTGAAGCATGTAGGGTGAATGAAATGGATCTCTGTCTTTGATCAGATTCGTCCCATTTTGCGAAGCATAATTCGAAGAATCAACAAATGATGGCTTTGATGTTGAAATCCCCATGGGAAAATAATTTCCAGCCGGTGCATTATTATTGTAAAATTGAGGACTTTTATCTGAATTCCCACATTCTGTTCGAGCAAATAATCCTTCAGATCCAATTCGGACTA